AGTTGTTGTTGCTTGAGGGGATAGTTTTGGTTCCTGTCACAGGATGTCCAAATGGACGTAGTTCAGGTTTCTGTCCGTGTGGCTGTGTTCCAATAAAACTTTATTCATGGACACTGAAATTTTAATATCACATAATTTTGATGTGTTGTAGAATATTCTTTTTACACGGTTCTCTGAAGCATTTCAGAATATAAAACCCATTCTGAGCTCTTGGGCCATACTAAAGTAGTGTGTGGGCTGGCTTCGGTCTGTGGGCCCTGGTCTGGCCCACGAGAGATGTTCTCAGTGTGTAACGAACTAATGACTGGTTCCATTAGCAGTACCCACCGCACCTGCCACCAAACGTAGACTTAGCTCCGCATCTCCTCGCTGGGCACAGACTCGAACTTGGGTCACTAGAACTTACCCATGAACATGGAAAATCTTTATCTTTTAATCTTAGATGAAAATGTTTCTGATCTTTGACATAACTTCTTGCCTGTGAAACAGAATATGTGGAGTGTAATTATGTGGAGTGTGATTGTATTTCTTCAAGATACTACTTGTTCAGATTTAGGATCCCAACTGTTCCAAAGCTGTCGGTTTAAAGAAGTTTTTCAGGAGGGGCACCTGGGTGGCTCAGTCAGTTAAGTGTCTGCCTTTGGCTCAGGTCATGATCCCAGGGTCCTGGGATGGAGCCCCACATCGGGCTCCCTGCTCGGCGGGTAGTCTGTTTCCACGTCTCCCTCTGCCTACTTCTCCCCCTACTTGCGCTCTCTCTGTGTCAAATAAATAAATAAAATCTTTAAAAATAAATAAATAGAAGACTTTTTAGGAAAGAAAGACTACCTTTTTTCTTTTTTTTTAAGTAGGCTCCACACCGAGCATGGAGTCCAGTGCGGGGCCTGAACTCACAACCCCGAGATTAAGATCTGAGTTGAGATCAAAAGTCAGACACTTAACCAACTGAGCCACCCAGGCGCCCCAACACTACCCTTTTAGACACATCAACTGTAAGATGCATTATGGTTTCAGGAACACTAAAATGAGAAAATAAATGTTTGAGGACATTTTGGTAATTTGGCCTTTTATGATCGAAATCAGTAGTGTCTTTGGGATATTTAAGATGCTTATGGGGCTAAATAGCAAAGAGTTTCCTCCAAGTAGATGATCAGGTTTCGGTAATCATCCTGTTTTGTGTTCTGCCTTCCCTTGCCCGGGGCTTGTGCTGGGGTGACAAGCACTTGCCCTCCACAGGCTGTCTGAGCAGGTAACAAGACAGGCGTCAGCGACTCCGTGTCTAGGCCCCGCTCAGGAAGGCGGGAGAATTAAGGGTGTGGGCTACATGAGGTCCGTTCTCTTTGTTTGTCTCTATGTTTGCGGCTGTGTCCCTGGCGAGTAAGGTCCGGACACGGAGCTCCTGGCCAGCGGGGAGCGGACACAGGCCAAATAAGCGATTGAAAGGGACAAAGTTCTAAGTTAGGGAAAACTGCCCACTTGTTTTGTTTTCTTTTTCCCAAACGAACCTGTTTGGTCATGGCAAGTATTTGTTTGGGCCCCTGGGTGGTGCTCTTGGTTGAGCCTCTAGTTCTTGGTTTCGGCTCAGGTCGTGATCCGAGGGTCGTGGGATGGAGCCCCGTGTCGCGCTTCTCACTCAGTGCAGGGTCTGCTTGAGATTCTCGCGCGCTCTCTCTCTCTCTCTCTCTGCCCCTCTCCCCATGCACGCTCTCCCCTTCTCTCTCTGACTCTCCCTTTCTCTCTAATAAAAAGATCTTTTAAAAATACATACTTTTGTTTGAACAAAAAAGCAGGTGCATGTATTGTTCCTAAAAGAAACCGGGTAGCTGAGTTCCAGTCTTAAAATAATGTGAACAGCCCAAAAGCCAAGCACATGTGCTGCTCCGTCAGCTGCCCTCCAGCCCCGACAACCATGCTGCCTCCCACCGTTGCCTCTCCATCCCTCGTCCTCTTCCAGGAGAAAGCCTGTCATAGAAGCTCAAAGCTGTGTTAGAACGAGAAACATTTTCAACACATACTGATGTGACTTATACAAAATGTAAAAAAATCTGAAAGGAATTTGTTTTCAAATGCCACTTGGCTCTGGTTAGAGCACACGCTGTCATCTGTCACTGTAGACGTAGGCCCCGCAGGAAGAAGTTTCAGAGGGGAGGCCGATGGGGAAGAGTGGGGAGGGGGGCTTTCATTTCAGGCACGCCAAGAGGGATTGGCTTTGTCTGTCTGTCCTACGCTCACCCACCCTCCAGTGGTGGGCTGGTGCCCTGGGACTCCGTCCTCTGCCCCACTGACCTGCATTGAGGAGAGACAGCGTGGTAAGACGTTAGTGGGGAGAGTCAAGGTCCAGAAAACCCAGCCAGCAGGCTCGGTGAACTGAGCAGCAGCAGAGGAAAGGTGGGTCACGTGCCCTTGGTCCCTCTGACCCGCAGCACAGGCCCAGGGTGAGGCAGGCCAGGAAAGTAGCCGCTGGGTTGTAGGTGGCCACCTGCTTGTGTCAGCCAAGTTCCCAGGACCTTCAGATAAAGCCCGGGCTGTGTCCCTGACAGCCAACAAAATGATGGGCCCACCCATCAGTGCAGACAGAGACAGCATGATGCGTGTTTGGAGCCGGGTGGGGGGGGCAGGCATTATCAGGGAGAAGCAATTGGAGGGACTGGAGTTGTAGCCCAGGAAAGGGGGAACCAGCAGACAAAACAGCCGCCATCACAGCCAAAAGGTTATCCAAGAACCGAAAAGGGTTAACTGGTTTTCTGAGGCCTCTCAGGGGACAAGGGAGACCCTGGTACTGGCAGAAGCTTTGGCTCCCACCAGGGAACAATGTGACAAGTCCTGTCCGGAGCTGGAAGGGGCTCCTGCGGAGCTGGTGTAGCCCAAGGTGGGAAATGTGCGCCCAGAGGGCTGGACGATGCTTGCTCCTGGGCGGAACCGCACCAGCGCTCGCATACCTCACTCTTGGGCCTGCTTCACAATTCGTATTAATCCCATCCTGTTCATTAACGTTTTTCTGTAATACAATTAAAAATCACATTATATAATCACTTCTCAGTCTTTTGGCTAAGATCAAGTGTAAAATCACATTATACACACTACCTGGGTATTGCTTCCCTGCGGAAGTCTTTGAGCCTGGGGCTGACTCCCTTTTTCCTAAGAAGGGAAGTTTTCTTTCTTTCAAAGGCACCTCTGGAGCGGGAGGGAGAGGCACACAGGCCCAGGCTAGTAGCCCGGGGGGAAGACAGGCTGCACCGGGAGTGCTGCCTGCCGGGTTGCTGATGCTAAGACCCGGTGGCTTTGGGAAGAGGCAGATACTCTGGTCTCTACAGTCTCCCAGGCCACAGTGTCCTGCTTCCGTGGATTTATTCTCTATATTTTTTGTTGACACCTGATTTTTTATGAGGGAGAGTTTACATAAACTCTTAGGAGGGAGAGGTGCATAAATCAGCCTGCACCTCCTTTCAGACGTGCCCACCCTGTGAATCACAAATTTGAACGCCACGTCTGTCGTAATTCATGAGGCAGTACTGACATGCTGTTACTGAATGAAGCTGCAGTCTAGTCACATTTCCTTCCTTTTTCCCTACTGCCATCTCTCCACCCCAGACGCCACAGTGAATGTAGTCACCATGTCTGCTCCGGCTCCTTGTGGCCGCCACAGTCTTATGGACTTACCTTGTTTTTTCTAACAGTGACAGTTTTGAGGACAACAGGTCAGGCATTTCGCAGCTGCCCCTCACTTGGTGTCTGTCGGATGACTTTCTCATGATTTTGCCAGGGTCATGGGTTTTTCGAGGGAGACCGCAGAGAGGAGGTCTCATCATGTCCCATCAAGGACATGGACTGTGACCACGCCCATAGCTCTGGGTGTTGACCTTGACCACCTGGCTGTCAGGTTTCTCTGTAAAAGAAGCTCCTTTCCCACTGTCCACCCAGCCCGCACTGGGGAAGTGGGAAGTTCCGCCCTTCCTCCTCAAGAGCAGAACATGTACGTAAATCATGTCTCTCGTCCCCCGCCTGTGAATTACTGGACCATTCATTTCTAGCAGCGGGGACTCATGGTTACTTGTTCTCCACCTTGGGCTGTCAGAGAATACTGCTTTATTTTTGTCCTCAGATTGTCCCTGCTTTGGCCCATAGGAGGTCCGTTGGCTCCTGTGTCCCCTTGACATGCTTCCATCATTGAGTTTTTGGTTTGGGTTTTTTTGAACACCTCCTTACTTCCTAGCGTTTCAAGACATTCTAGGCGCGTCTTGTGTATTTCCTGCCTCCGATCAGCCATTTCCCCAAGGAGCCCTCGTTTCTCTGATTGGAGGATGGTTTTAGAAACATGGTCTGGGTGCCAGCTGTCAGGCCCTGAAATCCTCTGTTCTCGGGAATTGATTCTGTTTTGAAGTGGTTTGGAAAGAAGTTCTTGTTCTGTTTTCAAAACCAGAAGTTAATGGAATAAGGCTTTTCATATTGTTTGTCCTGTTCTCTAGCTTTTGGAGAGAATGATTTCCCAGACTTGGCTTTAAGTGTCTTTAATGAATTTGACTGTGGCAGGGGGCTTTGAGGCACCATTTCCCTAACGTGGATGAACGTTTTGCAATTTGTTCTGTGGAGGAGGCGTTCTGAGGTTGCGCTGGGAGTGGGCACCTCCGTGTGTGCCTTGCCGGCTCAGGGCTGCCCACCACGCATGGTCTTTTTCTCTGTTGACGACCAAGCTGTGCACGGCACTGCCGGCCGGTGTCCGGCCTCCAGGATTTTCCTTGCTCTCCCAGTCATCTTTAAGCTTTTCTTTGAATTAGGTGGCAGGATACAGAGAACGTGGGATGGCATGCCAAGAGACGTGGGTCAGGAAGCGTGGTGCAGGGGTGCTGGCTTTGACCTTCCCTAGCTCAGCAGCCCTGAGAATTGTCTCCGCTATAATGCAGAAATGCTGAGTCCTATCTTTTGGTGTGGGGCCACGTGAAAGATCAAACTTAAAAAGATTGGGGAAAGGAGCATAGTCCCTTAAAAATCAATGTTAGCTGCTCCCTCAGCCTTACTCCTGGGTCTTTTGCTATGAAGGCCCAGGCATTGCCTGAGGGTACAGGACGGAGCACACGTCCCTCCCCAGGAAGACTTTGTGCTCTCCTGGGGCCTACGGCTTGAGCTGACAGTCCATGTCAGAAAAATAAAAAAAAAATTAAAAAAAATCAATGTTAGCTGAATTTAGCACACACCACATCCGGCGTAATCGGAGAGTAGGGCCAAGTGTAAGGAATTCAGATTTTGACAATTTCTACATCTCTGTGCATTCACGCCTGTGCACATGGGGTGAAGTATACATAGGGGTCAGAAATGTGGTTTTAGTGGGTCTGTGCTGCTCAAGTCTGAAATCTTAGTTACTTGGCCCCTGTGTGTAACAAATCTTTCCATAGCGCCAATGGGTACTTCAGAAGTACTTTGTCCTTCTCGCCGCCATGTAAGCAGTTTGTCAGAGCGGACTGTGCTGGCTTGTCTGTGCAGCGGGGATGGTGTCCATGTCCCCTGCAGTGGCCGGGCTTCCTACAGAGGCCACCCCACCCTGAGGCATCGTCAATGTCCGCTCTCCCCACTTCCTGTGTCAAGTGTGTGGGGCTGCCTTTCATGACCACTGTTTTGCAGATAAGGAAACCGAGCCTCGAGGTTTCAGTAAACTCAGAGGCAGTTCGTAAAAGTCAGAAATGAACTCATCTAATACCCTTCCTCCTGTCATCCCATCAAAGCAGAGCCTGCCTTTTGATTCCTCCAGGTCTTGGGGCTAAAACATTAGCGCCTTCAGAAATCTTAGGGAAGTGGGACTCATCAAGCTTTCTCTCTCCAGCCCGGAAAGCCAGGGCTTTTTTCTGAAGTAATCTGAGTTAAAGAGGTCGTAGCCACTGTCTGCCTCCAGCTGCCTGGAAATGTGCGGCGCGTGGAGTGAACAGTGTTGAGTTATTGGACTTTGGGCCTCAACGGACTTCTGCCTCTTAGCTTCGAAAGCTTTTACAGTTACTGAATCTGAGACTGCAGTAGATTGGACATAAGCTTCTCATATTCCCAATTAATATCTTTTCAGGCCAAAATACAGATGAAAATGGAAAAGCTATCCTCGACCACCAAGGGGGTTTGTGAGCTAGAGAACTACCATTACCGGGATGGGAGGCCTCGCCCCCCACTATTTCACACATGGCCCACAGCCCATTTCTGTAAGTAGTTCTCTCTGCACTGATTCTCAGGAGTAGAAATTATGAGAGCATTTGTGTTCTTTAGATATGGTACTTGAAGAACCTAACAGAGTCTGAAATTCAATTCGAGAGGATCCATTGGAAGGAAAGGAGATTGGGGGCATCTTAAAATGGGCCTTTCTTCTTGCCTCTAATAATCAGCAAAGAATATTAAATGTAATTAGAGACACATGAAGCAAGGTGCCCTTATTAGCCCTTTATTGTTTTTTTAAAAAGATTTTATTTATTTATTTGACAGACAGGGATCAAAAGTAGGCAGAGATGCAAGCAGAGAGCGGGGGGAGGGAAGCAGGCTCCCTGCTGAGCAAGAGCCCAGTGCAGGGCTTGATCCCAGGACCCTGGGACCCTGTGACCCTGGGACCATGACCTGAGCCAAAGGCAGAGGCTTAACCCACTGAGCCACCCAGGCGCCCCCTTATTAGTCCTTTAAAACCAAGTGGTCAAGGCGCTTAGCTGGCTCAGTCCACAGAGCCTATGACTTTCGATCTTGGGGTTATGAGTTCAAGCCCCATTTTGGGCACAGAGATTACTTAAAAAAATAAGTACATAACCTTAAAAAAAAAAAGGGTAGAACGAATTCCACTTGCTTCTGTGGAGACAGATTTTTTTTTCTTTTTTAGAAAGATAAGGTTTTGGGGCACTTGGGTGGTTCAGTCACTTAAGCCTCCAACTCTTGATTTCAGCTCAGGTCTTGATCTCAAGGTCATGAGTTCAAGCCCAGCACTGGAAAAAAAAAAAAAAAGATAAACTGAGGTCAGTTCAACCCCCCAGAAGAAGACCATGGAATGTTCTGGGAACATGGAATTCATTTCTTAAGTTCTACAAGATCAGGATTACTTTTTTTTTTTTTTTAAGGTTTATTTATTTTAGAGAGAAAGTGAGCATGCACGTGAAAGCAGGGGAAGGGGCTGAGGGAGAGAGAGAGAGAAGCAGACTCCCTGCTGAGTCCAGAGCCTGACATGGGGCTTGATCCCACGACCCTGAGATTGTGACCTGAGCCAAAATCAAGAATTGGATGCTCAACCGACTGAGCCACCCAGGCGCCCCTCAGAGTTACCATTAGCTTTGTTAGTTCAAAAGAAGGGCCTAGTTATTTGTTACCGATTTGAGACCTCACTTTTTTTTTTAAGATTTTATTTATTTATTTGACAGAGAGAGATCACAAGCAGGCAGAGAGGCAGGCAGAGAGAGAGGGGAAGCAGGCTCCCTGCTGAGCAGAGAGCCTGACGCAGGGCTCTACCCCAGGACCCTGGGATCATGACCCGAGCTGAAGGCAGAGGCTTAACCCACTGAGCCGCCCAGGCGCCCTGAGACCTCACTTTTAAGTAAGGAAGAAAAGGGTAAAACCATTTGATGTGATGTGTTATTGGAACACTGTCAGTTTGAGGTGAACCTACTGTTTATAATCATCGCGGGACCCAAGAGTTGAGCAGAGGCTAGACTTACTCATTAATTTCATGGCCCTTATCATGCCCACTAACATTACTGATGGGTACGAGCCCGAGTGACCCAGACCCCCCCGGTCCTCCTTCATCTCCGCACTGTCACCGAGTCTAGTTTTCAAAAAGAAGCTTTCCAAAGTGGCGCCCACCCCCAGGCAGGAGCGGTTCTGTGACTTTGTTGCCTCTAAAGAGAGAGATTCGTTTCAGACGAGGTCTCCCGCAAGCTGTGCGACATGTACCAGAAAGAGCTTCTCCTGAAGCGCACAGTCACGGAAGAGCTTGCACACGCCGCGGACCACGACCTCACCCTGAGCTACCTGTCAATGTGGCTGCACCAGCCCTATGTGGAGACCAACAGCAAGCTGCTTCTGGAAAGCATGCTGCTCGAAACGGGGCACCGGGCCCTGTGACCTCCCAGCATGGCCTGGCCTGAGCCCCCAGGCTCCAGACCCCTGGCTGCTTCTCTGGCTCCCGTGATGGACGGTCTTTCACGTAAGACCCAGTGCTGTGGCGCAGCCGCCCTCCGGCCTTAGTGTCTTCCGGACTGGATCACTTTAGTGGCTCCCCGTGGCCTGTCCCGACACTAGACTGCTGGGAGCCATCCTCCCCGCCATGTCATCCGCGCCTGTTGTGAAACTGTCACCCAAGAGGACTTCACGAGAAATAAAGGAGTTCCCTACCAGGATGATTGTGTCATCTCGTTTTTGTTAATTAGCCGTATTTATATAGAAAACCCCTGGTTCGGTATCTTTTACTTTGTACCTATCCGTTATTTAAATTTCTCTGACACAACGTTGGTTTTGTAATTACAGCTGACATGTAGAATCCCATAGAGCTAACTGAGTGAGAGAGACCGGCTCGTGAAAACTACCTGCAGCCGTCGCCTGTGTTTGCAGACTGAGGATGGGACAGGCCACGGGATTCTTCTAGGCACAAGCACTAGGGTCTGACAACGTCCGCAGCCCAACCCTAGGGGCTCGAGTCTACCATTGGCTTCCCGCAGAACTGTGAGGAACTTGGTGCTACAGCAGGGATGGGGTACGTGACCCAGGATGTGGCCCTTCTCTCATGGAGGCTGCAGCGTCCCAGCAACAGGGAAAGAGGCAAATATTCCAGTAAAGACCGTACACGACAGGGATGTCGTTTGGGAGAAAGTGAGCCTACCTCGCTGTGCAAAGTGTTGCGTCAGAAAGCACTGAAAGGCAACACTTCCTAGCGTCTCCTTCCTCTGCCCCGGGGCACTCGCTGATGGCTCACTACCGTAAAGGCCGCCCCTCACACATCTCACAGCCAGGTAGCCCGCGGTTAGCACTTGGTGGAAAGGGTGTTCTGTTCCAGGCCGCCCTGCCCGGCAAGCTGTTGTCAGGAGCCCCAGAGGCAGGTGGGCAGGACTGGGCCCCCAGATCCACTGGCAGTTTTTTTATGCTTCGGGCATACTTAAAAAAATAAATGCTCTTCAGGGCGCCTGGCTGGCTCAGTCTGTGGAGTGTGCGACTCTTGGTCTTGGGGTTGTGAGTTCAGGCCCCATGCTGGGAGTACAGCTTACTTAAAAAAAAAAAAAAAAGGGCAGTGAAGGACTTGATACTGTGAGCAGGCCTTTCTAGAACATTCCATGGGTTCTTGACACTTTATCCCCAGACCCCCAAGTGGTCCAGGGGAGGCCATGAAAAGGGTTGACTTTGCAAAGGACAAGCAGACATGAAAGAGCTAAGGGACAAATTATCCGGTGGCGTTAGTCCAGAGATGCCTCACGAAACGGAAGAGGCATCAAATTAAAGGAAGACCCCTCTGGTGGTTGAATTTGCTGAGTTCTGCACTCACTACACCACAGTGAAGTCTCCAGAGAGCTGACGGGCTTCTAAACCTAGAAGGCCGTTGACATGGTTCTCTGCCTCCAGGTATCTTGCCAAAGTAGACAGCCAAGGAGCCTGCAAAGGGCAAGTCCACAGAAACAGGCCTGGGGAAGGGTTCTGGGGGCAATTCATGGTAAGTACATTTCATTAAAAGGAAGAAAAGAAAAAAAACAGCTTCCAGGAAACCCAAAAGCTTATATGAAAGCATCGAAGTGGTCACAACATACCACACTTTCTAGTCCTAAATAATGTGACCTGACAGCGCTGGTCACCGAGTACTCCTGGAGTCCTGCCTTTGTGGCCCACAAAAGCTGGTCCTTCTGGTTCCCTTGCCATTGGGGGTGACCACAGGGCAGGTTCTGGCCACGGGAGGGCAGCCCTCCCTTCGGTTCCCTCTGTCTGAGTTGGCCACTGGCAGAGTTTGAGATGTGGCTGCCCTGCTGGGTTCCTGACCTGGCTGTGCTGAGGCAGTGCTGTCCCCGGCCTGTGAGGTACACGTTGCACGAGGAGACATATACCTCCGTTGTTTGAAGCCGGCGAGGTTCCAGGGCTGTTACTCCCACCTCTCCAGACTGACCCACAAATGTTCTAACCGTCCTGGGAGAAGGGGTTCGGCAGAGACCGTGGGTAGTCCTTCCGTATTCTTTGCTTTATCTGGGTTTTAGCCAGCACACGGCTACCAGCTTAATAGGTTCCAGAACCTTCTTTGTCACCAGCTGTGGCCACATGACTGAGACGTGCATTTGGTTCTCAAAAGTCGTGTGTGCCCCTCCTGCCTCTCACATCTTGCGGGACGGAGCTGACACAAGGGTGATGAGCCTCCTCATCCCTCCAAGGAGTGAAGAAGACCCCTGGGCCTGGGCCACCTCTGCAGCAAAGCCACTCAAGTTCCCGAGTGCCTTCATTTGTTCACTTGGAGGTGCTGTCGTCTCCACATCTCCACATGTCCCCGCCGGACTCCTATGTCGAAATCCTAACCCCCGGCGGAGACGGTTAACAACAGGGTGGGGCAGCCCCATGCGTGGGATCCGCGCTCTTATGAAAGAGGTTCCAGAGGGTTCCCCGGGCCCCTCCAGTGTGTGAAGACACGGCGAGAAGGCACCGGCTGGGACACAGCCCTCCCCCAGCCATGCTGGTGCCCTCATATCTCCAGCCTCGGTGACTGTGAGCAGCGAGCCCCTGCTGTTTCTGGGAGTCCCAGTCTGTGATTCCCTTAGAGCCGCTCAAACGGACGAAGATGAGGGAGAAGTAAAATGCCAGCTCGTTCAAGTCGCTTACACCCACTACCTCTGTAGAAGCAGCCAGCGGATCCCCTGCCAAGGGGAAGGCTGGCAAGTGTGCGCGTGGGTGGCGGTGATGGTGGCGGGGGAAGCATGGGTGCATTCGGCCTCTGGGAGCCAGTCGATCACGAAGTGACAGTATTAGCCTGTTACGCAGTGATGTGGGCTGAACCGCCAAAGACACAGCTACAAGACCTGGAGGTGGCTAACGGGCGAAGAGGTTGGAGGGAAACGACATAATACTTACGTGGTGTGATGGAAGCGTTAGCTGACACAACGGTGGAGATCCTGGCGCCATAGGTACAAGCATCAGATCAAGAGAAGAGGAAGGGGAGGGGCTGCTTTCTCTTTTAAAACATAAGTCTCAGAGAACTGGCCCGTTAAACTATATGCGCATATAATTATGTTAAAAAACAAATGGCAGAGGGGCGCTGGGTGGCTCAGTCGGTTGGGCATCTGCCTTCGGCTTGGGTCATGATCCTGAGATCCTGGGATTGAGTCCCACGTCCCACTTCCCCCTCTCTATGTCTGTCTCTCATGAATAAATAAATAGAATTTAAACAACAACAAATGGCAAAGATATGAAGCAAATGAAAAAACCCAAGGCAGTTCTCTCTAGGAAAAAACAAAGCTTCTGGAAGGCAGAGTCATCCCAGGACGCCAGCAGACTCAGCAATGAGCCGTATTTATAGTTCACATGAGCATTAAATCCTGACCTAATGCCCTAATGACAATGCCAATGACCTAATGTCCCCCCCCCGTGATACAGGGACACCTGCAGGTGGAGTGGGGAGGTGTGCAAGCCATGTCCCGTGTCCCACGATGCCATCGAACACGAATAAATCAAGAAAGCTTTGAGAGAGACATAACTTGGACACATGGAGGTAAATCACCAAAAGGAGAAAGTGCTCACCTTGGCCTAGGGGCGGAGGGCTGAGGTCGGGCCGGCCGCGCTTGGTGGGACTTCTGGTAGCTTTTGGCATTTCACAAGACGTAGTTATTATCCTGTAGCTGGAAACAGACATTATTCTTTAACACGTAGGCCTCAGAGGACATCAAAGACCGGCTCCCCCGCAGGCTCTCTTCCGGTTCAGCTCTCCCCACTCCCGTGACCCCTGGGGAGGCCAACGTGGATGAGCCTGGCGGGGCAGCTGCAGGGCCCAGTGCTTTCCGGAGAACACAGAAATAGAGGACTTTCTTTCATTGCACTTAGGAATGACAGTAGTCGAACAGGGACTTAGTGCCAGGAGAGATGACAAATGCTGGAAACACGTCCTCACTGGAGTCCACACCAGCCACCCCGTGGGAGTCGCTTGGGTGGTATGTGTCCCTGGGCCTGTGACCTGATGCCTCTTTACTCCTGCCCCTAATTTGAGTATCTCAAATTATAAGAACTATGTATGGGGCGCCTGGGTGGCTGTCGGTTAAGCGTTTGCTTTCAGCTCAGGTCATGATCCCAGGGTCCCGGGATTGAGTCCCTCATCGGGCTCCCTGCTCAGCAGGAAGCCTGCTTCTGCCTCTGCCTCTCCCCCGCTTGTGCTCTCTCTCCCTGTGACAAGTAGAGAAATAGATATATATATATGTGTGTGTGTGTGTGTGTGTGTGTGTGTGTGTGTTTATATATATGGACTGTATACAAAGGAAAATTCTTCACAACAAAAGAAGTTTTCGGGGCACGTGGGTGTCTCAGTAGGTTAAAGCCTCGCGGCTTTGGCTCAGATCATGATCTCAGGGTTCTGGGATCAAGTCCCGCATCGGGCTCTCTGCTCAGTGGGGAGCCTGCTTCCTCCTCTCTGTCTGCCTGCCTCTCTGCCTACTTGTGATCTTTGTCTATCAAATAAATAAATAAAATCTTTATAAAAAAAAAAGGAAGTTTTCGTCATTTGCTACATATAGAATTAGGTGTGTCTGCTCACGCAGCACTGCGGGGTAGAAGCTGTGTTATAAATCTGTCTAGGGACCCTGTAAATGCTGCCCTGGCCGGTACAGCACAGGTGTCCAGCACGGAGGCATCTCTGTCAGTCCGGGCAGCTGCTGTCCCTCCACGGGCACAGGTCACATTCACGGGTGCAGGGCCAGCGCCTCCCGCTTCGTGGAACAAGGAGGTTTTACTCCACCATCTGTTTGTAACAGCACACCCACCGTGGTGAAATTAAGCTGTATTGGGGGGTTGGGGAATGTCCTATAAATAGAAAACAAACTTGTATTTGACAGGGCCTGGGTCCAGACCCCAGAGCAGGGTCCAGACCTGACTTGGGTTTGTTGCGTGGCTCGCCTGATGAGGGTCGTGAACGATCCCCAGGCAGGAGGCTCTGTCCTCACTCCAGGATCCCAGGACGCGACTCATTCTAGGCTCCTGAGAAGTGTCCCTGAGTCCACAGCGGGTACCACCGCCTCCCCTGGGAGCCCGACACTCGTGGGGCACCGCGGCTGGCTCTCTGCTGTAGCCACTAGGTCCTAGGACACCGCCCTTCTGTTCTGTGGATGCAGCTTTGAGACCAAGCGAGAGGACAGGAAAATGCCCGAGACTAGAGCCCGCGCCTCCACGGCAGGCCCCGGAAGGAGCGCAGCACGAGGGGGTGCAGCTGTGATCCCAGCACTGCCTGCTCGGGGTCTCTCCTCACAGCCCCTGCAAGTGGGGGCAGAGGACGCCTGTGCTGTCTTGAAGAGGGACAGAGGGCCTTCCCTGTCCTTCCTTCCCCATGACAAAGCCAAGGAGAATGGTCAGCAAAGAGCCGTGGACAGGTGGCTTGCTGGGGAGACATGGGAGGACCGGGGCTGAGCTCTGCAGCATCTCGCTGAGGACGCCGTGGGTCCTGCTTCCTGCACCCATGACAGGCGAGCAGAAACGACTTTCTTTCCCACCTCCCAGTGCTGCCCAGAATGGCCCCTTGGTTATGTAGTTCCTAAACCCAGACATGGTGGAAAAGCAGCAGATCGCCCAGGAGGGAGGGGACGCCATTTTGGGGGGGAGCAGAGCTGGCGAGGAAGGAGGCGGTGGCTTTACCGGTGGCAGTCGTCAGGGGCCTCCAGGGACTAGCTCCTCAGAGGAACCCAGGCTGGCGGCTGCTCTGCCATCGGAAGAAAGGCAAGCGAGACACAGAAGAAGAAGGGAGACAGTCAAGTAGAAAGACATTATCTTTATAAATAAGACTTTCATTTGCATCTGTATTCACAATAGAAAAATATACATTACTTCAAGTAGACCTTCTCCAGCTAAAATACCCGCATGTCCGGACCACAGTCCGACTTCACTGTGCGGCCTCTGCCTCTGTGCCTTCTGGGGGAGCCCCTTCCCGGGGGCCCGTGTGCAGGGCAGGCCCATCTGCACCAGCCACCAGGATGAGGTCCTCCTCCCCAGACTCTAGGGAACCCGGATGGGACAAGATCAGCCCATCAGAGCTCTGAATAAATAGCGGTTCTTGTCCCTGAGACAACAACTCGTGGCACCCGTGGGTAATTTCAAAAGCCACAGCTTCACCCACAGCAATAATACTCTCCAGTCCTCGCTGGTCAGTACAGGCCTCGGGCCCGCAGGGGAAGGGGTGCAAATCCCCTGCCTGGCTTCCCTGACCCCCGTCAGAGGCCGGTGACCCCGCCTGGCCCAGCCCCTGCTCCCACACGGTCCTGTGGGCACAGTCAGCCGGCACCGTGTCCACAGACAGAACCCTCGCCGGCGGAGGGCCTGTGTCCTCCATAAGCAGGACGTGGCTAGAGCTGGACCGCTGGCCTCTCTGGGGGGAGTCCTGCATCTCGAGGCTTCCAGACCCAGAAGGTGGCAGGGAGTGTGCCCCTCCAGTGGACGTCAAGGTGCCGCAGAGAGCCCGGGGCCTGAGGCTGTCCCCCACCTTCCAGGCTACAGAGTGTTCCGGAACATTATCCTCAGGGAATGCTGCCACCTGTCCCTGCGTCTGAGTCTTGGGCTCTTCTAATGGAGGACAAAGACTCGGCCCGCTGACGTGCTGATACGAGAGAGCAGGAGCTGCAGACCCACTCTTGGCCTCTAAGTCAGCAAGGGCTTTGAGCTGCTGGTCTGCAGGCAACACGCTTCTGTCACTCTTGGAAACCAGTGTCGTGTGGCTTTCTGCTGAGTCGTAACAGCCGTTCCCACTTACGTAAGGGGCACAACCTAAACAGTTCAGAAAAACAGGTAAGCATACGTGTCCTGTGACACGGCCTGTTCACCGCACTCTCTGTCCCAAACAGGCTAATCCAAACGAATTTTCTGGCAAAACAAATGGAAACCTAGACTCTCCTTGCCCTCGGGACTGGTAGCTTCCAAGTATGGAGGAGGCTGCAAGAGGTGACACTGATTCGTTTGAGGGGGGCTGGGTACCAAACAGGGGCCAGGGGTGTCCCTGCTCCCCCGGAACGCATCTGCCCTCCCCTTCCGCAGATTTCAGTAGTGAGTTCTAAAATGGAGGATGCCTCTTGGCGCTGGAGACCTTAGCATCAAACAGGGTATCAGGTGACTTGGAAAATGGCACAGTTACTCTTGGGGCCGTGTGTCCAATGTCTAGTTGACAGGTTGGCTGGAGCAGAATAAAAACCAGAGTGGGTCTTGTTTCCCACATTAAATCCCAACTGCCCTTGGAGCCCAGCCTCGGAGAGCCAAACCACAAGTGAGCTGTGTCCCCGGGACCCTCCGAGAGCGATCCACTCACCAGCACTCGGGACTCTTCATTAGGTAAGAGATTCGAGGAAGCCTCCCAGACCTCAACACCCACGGGGAACCCGAGGGGACGACAGAACACGGGCAGGCTGGGACGAAACTCGAGAAACCAGGTTCTCTTAGGTTGGGCCCCAGGGCCATGAATGCTTTACCCTCGCTGGCGGCCGGGGCGCAGGTGGGGGGCTTTTGCGGGCCTCCGCGGTCGTCAGGAGGCTCTGGGCTGGCCGGGGCCGGGGCTTCTCTTCTGGTCCTCTTCGCCCAGGCCAGTCCCTCCTCTGCAGTCTGGGAAGGGGAGACGCAACCAGCTCAGACGAGGAAGAAGCAGGCAAGCTCGCGCTTCTCCTTTCTGGAGCCCAGCGCCGGCGGCGGAAGTCAAAGCACGGGGAGCTCGGCGGGTCACCCGGCGCCCCCGCCACGCGCGCCCACCTCGTGTCCCCGCTTCTGCTGGCGGGCATCCTCCGCTTCAGCCGGGCCCGGCTCCCCGCACCGCGTGTGTGCCTCTTGTTTCCTCAGGAACTCGGTGAGTCCCAAAGACTCGGCCACCTGAGGGGAAGGACACATGTCAACCCGAGGTACAGGACAGAGTGGGCCTAGGAGGCCCCGCCGGGCGGCAAGCCCCCAAACACTGACGGACACGAAGGTGCACGTGGGGTTCGACGGAATAGCTGAGGAGACGGTGGGTCCTTACCAGAACTGGAAGGTTCTGTGCTCACCCAGCACAGAAGCAGACACCGAGAAGTTTTTTTAAAAATTCTCTCTGCTCTCTTCAACGTCAGTCAGACATGAGTTCTTGCCCCTGACTCCTCTCCTGTTCTGAATCCTCACTGCTACCTTCCTACCCATTCCAGAACAAGACCTCCTCTTCCAGGCAGTGCAAGGGGTGAGGGTGTGGGGGCCCTGGGGGCTGAGCTGGGCCCCGGCCTCCCTGCTCCCAGCTGAGGGGACCTTCCTGATCCTGTAAGGGGGACTGCAGCTGCCCCGGGGGAGTCTGTGAAGATCAGATAAAGGAGACAAGTGACAGCTGTCACTGATGCATGGACGTAGGACCGGAACACCATGGAGCAGGAGGGGAAGGGGCAGGGAAGGAGGGACAGCAGATCAGAGTCTAGGTAGAAAACAGCCCCTCAAGTTCAGTGCCTCCCAACCAGCCTGTGTCCCAACCTGCCACTGTCTGTGCTCCCAAGAGGCTGCGGCTCAGCCTGAGCTGCCTGCAAAGCTGGGTCCCCAGGGGCGTGCACAGTGGCGCATGTCCAATCCGCCCTGTGACAGGATGACACACCTGTTGAGCTCATAGTTTAAAAAGCATGTAAGTTGAGGGGCGCCTGGGTGGTTCAGTGAGCTGAGCGTCCAATGCTTGATTTTGGCTCAGGTCATGATCTCTGGGTCACAGGATCGAGCCCCGAGATGGGCTGCACAGAGTCTGCTTGGGATTCTCTCTCCTTTCCCCCTTCTCCACCCCCTACCCTAAACGTTCTCTCTAAAATTTTTAAAAACAAAAACCAAAAAACCCCACATATGTGATTCCTACCCACCAAAGCATCTGTATGAGACTTAGAAAAAACCCATTACGGGCTCCTGGATGGCTCAGTCAGTGAAGCGTCTGCCTTCAGTTCAGGTCATGATCTCGGGGTCCTGGGACTGAGCCCCGAGTTGGACTCCTTGCTCAGTGGGGAATCTGCTTCTCCCTCCCTCCCTCAAATAAATAAATCTTTTAAAAAAAAGAAAAAAAAACATTATATTTCTACAATAATAATTCAAGAAGACAAAATACAAAAGATTATTAGGTAATGCTAAATATTGAATTTGTATAAAACTAATAACCAAAATAGCCCCCAAAAACCAAAACCCAAAAAACCATGGGCCGTGTTCAGCATGCTTCAAGACCGCTCGCTCCAGAAGTAACATACTCTCTGGGACACTAACGCCAGGAGCAGGTGGGCAGACCCGTCACCAGGCCAATGGACCCTCCAACAGAGCTAAGGGCAACACGGCCCAAGTATTCCTTATGGCTGTGAACGAGGACAGCGGCTGCTCCCCTTGGACCTCAAACTTGCTAGTTGGCCTCTTCTTTCCAGCTGCCTCTTGGCTCAGGCACAAGACCCTGAGGACAAAGCATCCAGTGAGGGGACCCGAAACTACCGCCTCAAATGACAAGGATGGCTGGAGCCAGCAAGACCCCTCCTGACCGGCCCCATGACAGCAACATCAGACCTTCACTGCCCCCTGCACATACCACCCTCTTCGTCCCACATTCTCCTTAGACAGACCTGGGAGGATCTTCAGGGCTTGGGAGACTCTGAGACACTAGTCCCCGGTCCTCCCAGTGTCACTCACTGACATGAAGTCCTTTCTTGTGTGCCCACCACTCGCCTCTCTGCCTGTGGATTTTGTCAGTGGCGAGTGGCCGAGCCTGGTGGGCTGGGACCCCTGCGTGCCGGCTACAGCTGTGTGAGCAAGTTTCTAAGTAAACAGCATCCAAAGCCACAGCATTGCTCAGCGCTTCGCCTCAAGGTGGGGGCAAGGGGGCCCACCCGGCGGGGACTCCCAAATGACCAGACCACACAGGGCATGTGGTGCCCAGCAAAGGTTTCATCCAAAACAAGTAAAACCACAGCCGTTCTAAACATATTTTTCTCCAGAACCCAACAGAGCCAGAGGCTGTGCTGCATGATGACAAGGACAGTGAAAGGAGGCTTCTGTCAGAACCACCATAGTCCATGTCTGTGACCCGGTCACCTCCCCAGCCCACAGTGAGCGGAAGCCACACACCTACCGACCACACTGTCACCGACATCAGCAGTGGGAGGGAAGACAATGGGGCCGTCCAGTTGCCATCAGCCTCTCCACATTCCTGAGGTTCCCCAGACAAGTGCCATTTGCTTTTATAGTTAAAAAATGTTACATGATGGGACAGAGAGAGCTGAAAAGAAGTTGGTTCTGTCATTACTAAAAACATGCTCCTCTGGGGCGCCTGGCCGGCTCTGTCACTGGAACGTGCGATGCCTGATCTCAGGGTCGTGAGTTCAAGCCCCATGTTGAGTGTCGAGATTACTTTAAATAATAACTAAAAATAAAACCATTATTTTCTTCAAATGGATATCCCTCTTTTGGCAAATGTAAATGCAAAACTTCCTCCTCTGTGAGCCTGTTACCTTACTGTTGCTTATTTCCAGAGGCTCCCGGGAACAAAGACCAGCACCACTGAGGTAGTCTTGACACATCTTCTTAACCATTTTATGCAACTCTTCAAATTCCTTATACACAGCTGGGAACAAAGGTTTTGCTAGATGACCTGTTTCAACCTTTGTGAAGATAAAGATGACAAGAAAGGTTTAAACCAGACATGATGAAATGGCCGGAACAGAAAGCAGCTTTAAGGTGGGAAGGAGACAAGCTCCTCAGGCTGTCACTGGCCTATCTTCTCTTCCACTCCCCAGTGAGAGCCCCTGTGTGCCCAGCACTGTGCTCAGTGGGGACCCCAGGATGGGCCAGAGAGCAAACCACCGCCTGGGTAATGGCCCCAGAGGACGGTGGGCCAGAGCTCCAAAGGAGGCATGGCCAGGGAGCAGGAAGGGACTAGAAATGTCCTGGGGACAGGCCTGCAGGCGGGAGCAGCGCCAGGTCCTCAGTCCTCGGGCAGCTCTGCTGGGCCTCCTGCATTGTCAGAACAGGCTCCCCAGGAAGGAGAGCCTCGTGGACCAGGCCGGTGAGAGCAAGGGAGAAAGGCGACAAGGGCCCTGGGCTGGACACATTTTGCCGCCATCACTTTCTGGCCTCGAACACCAAGTTAAAACAGGCAGGGGAGGCATGGGCCCCACGGCAGGTGTCTGGGGGAGGTGCGGGGGGGTGGGCGGGCGGGTGTGCGGCGGGCAGCAGGCTTGCTCCGGCTCTGTCCTGGGGGAGGGAAAGGATTCCAAATGGTCTGGCTTTTCCTAAAATAAATGTGATGGATGTCTTTCTAAAGAACTTCAAATCACCCTCCATCGTTTGGAATTGCCGAGCGACTCACCTTCATCAGCAGAAACTCGTACACGCTCACGACCTGGGCCAGCTGAGGCAGCGCCAACTCTACCAGCGCGTCCCGGTCACACTGGTGCAGAAACTACCGGAAGGAAGCATTTGACAGCTCTGAATGTCCCAGTGGCCGACAAGCCGGTGCAACAAAGAACATAAGAGACGTAAAGTTTCCCCAAAGCTCAGCGATGAAGCAACTCTTAACCATAAATGTTCCGTGTGTTGAGGATCTCACTTGTTCGCCCCCAACCAAGGCTATGACCCCCTCTGCGGTGCACGTCCGACGCCCCGTGACTCCCCTGGGCACATAGTGAGTGCCAGGCCCTGTGTCAGGAAGTGTGCTCCCTACTCTCCCGGGACACTCCAGAGCAAGCAAGTCCCGGGCAGCCTGCGGTCTGGAGACCACCGCCAAGGGACAGGCCATGGGGGAAGAGGAGGACCCAGCTGAACGCAGGGGTGGTGGGGAGGGGGGAGGCGGGGAGGGCATAAGGATAGGGGAGGAGTCAGGGAAGGGGGAAGGGGAGTCAGGAATGAGTCTGGGTTCCCAGCTGGAGCCCAGGCAGACCCTGGACAAGTTGGGGGTGGGAAGTGGAAGGTGGAGTGGTTTACAGGACACCCCGGTGGCAACGTCTGAAATCAGAGCTTGGGGGCTCAGGAGATGTGAACAGGGCGAACCGGTAGTACATGGGTGTCCGCAGAGGACCGACGGCCTGGGCAACCAGGAGGTGGAAGAGGGCACCCAGGGAAACAATGGCATGGGAGGGAAGGGAGCAATCGCAGAGACCGGACGCGTGAAGGGGCTCGGGAGCTCGTGAACCCGTCGGCTTCCTCATCTGTTAAGCAGAGAGAGTGAATGAGGGAAACCTGGGGCTGGGCCGGGGTAGGGTGGCTGTACCGGACTGCACAGGGCGCTCAGCAGATGGCGGGATTTTGGATGTTAAGGGATGAATCAAGTCAAGGACTACCTTACCTCCTACTCCCAAATATTAGTCGCCCAGGATTAATCACCAGCCCAATGAGAGAAAAGCAAATTCACCAGGGCTTAAGTTTCCTGCTAGAGCATGCAAGCTCATGATGATTTCTAAGAAACCCGCTTCCTCTCTGAAAACCTCTCGCTTCCCCTGTGGGTGAGTTTGGAGGCCCCGGTTCCCTGACGGGCACCCTGACCCCGCTGTCCCACTAACTCGCTACCTCGCACTGTCTGCTACCCTTTACTTCTTTTCTTTTTTCAATTTAAATTCAGTTAATTCACACATTTAAATTCATTTATCAACAGATATTTTTAAAACCTGAAGATCAGCTGTGTGTTACTTCTTTTCCTTAAGATACTCACCTGGCCATTACCGGCAGCTAAACACATCCTAGCCAAGGTGATCTGGCTCAATTTAGGGTTCCACTTTTCTAAATCAACCCCATTACATTCACTAAGTCTACTCTCAAGAAACTGGGATAGAGATTCCAGGGTTGAGAACCTGAAACATATTTATGCCTTAAAATTCTTCACAGTAAAACAGAAACCATTTCTGTTGTTTTCTAAATGCTTCTATGAAAACGTTATGAAAAGGTTATGAACATTCCAAAACTTACAAAGGCGAGCAGCTCTTGCTATCCCTAAAGCCCTCTGGTCATTTCAGACGGGGAAAGCTCGGAATTACTTCGGGTAACACTAGCCCTGAGTTCATGACACCTTCATCCAACTACATTTCAGGTGACTGATTAGTTGATCTGGGTATTTCACTTCTAATTCAGAACCCTAATAGTGAATTGTCACACACCAGGCCAAAGACACGGGTTTCAAGAACAGGGTCTTGGAGCCACGCACCTCCTTGAGCCCGGCTCGGGCTCTCGAAGCGCTCTGCACCCCTGCTGCACGGGCACCCCTGGCTGGGTTAGCTGCTCCGATTCGCCCAACGACGGCTGTGCTGGCCTCTGTCAGGGCCACGGACGAGTCACTTCTGGGGTCTGGGTGTCTCTCGGATCCCAAAAGGGCTGAGTAACTTCCGTTTTCTGGTTCAGACACCAAGGCCTCTTCAACTTCTAGAGACTGGCTATTCTAGATAGTGTTGTGCACCCAAAACAAAAATAAAATAAAGTTTTATACACCATAGTGATGACCTTAGGGCAAAAAAAAGTCAAGTCAAAAGCAAGGAGCCTGCTGAATTAGGTCTTCTTTGCATCATCAAGATGCGTTAACTATAATCAACGCATCTTAAACTTTCCCCACAAAGTCCCCCTTTAAGACACCCCGTGAGTATGAGTGAGCTGACAAACCATAACCCTGGGTGTTCCCCAAAATGAAATAAGGAACTTCTCTGACAGCACTGTCATCTTATAAATTAAACTGAAATTTGGTCATTCATAATTACCCATGACTTTTTTAAATTTTTAAAAAAATTTATTTATTTGACAGACAGAGATCACAAGTAGGCAGAGGCAGGCAGAGAGAGAGAGGGAAGCAGGCTCCCTGCAGAGCAGAGAGCCTGATGCGGGACTTGATCCCAGGACCCCAGGATCATGACCTGAGCCAAAAGCAGAGGCTTTCCAACTAAGCCACTTAGGCACCCCTACCCATGACTTTAAAAAATCATCTTTTATTGGATATTTTTCAAACACCATAAATTCCATACCTTAAAAATACATAGTTCAGACTTTTGTACACTGAGAAGGATGTGTAGGCATCACCAAAACATGTATGTCTCCCCTGGCCTCCGCTCCAGAAGGACCCCGGTACCCACTGGCATCATTCATTCTTCCCTGTCCCCAGGCCCCAAGAGCCATGAAGCTACTGTCTTTGTGGCTTCTGAAGAGACCCCGGGCCTGACACCGTCTAGCTGCTTCCTCACTCTGCGCCCACTCCCCTCTGAAAACAGGAGTAATCCCTCCCAGGACTGAGGGAACGATAAATCAATACAAGGAACACACTTCACGTGGCAGCTAGCATCAAGTGTGTCCTCTTAACTCTTACAGAATTTTCCCTCAAAATCTTCATCACAGCAGCGCTCCGGGACGGATGCCAGGTCTGTCTGTGGTTTTAGTTGCCAGAGTCTGCTCCTGGGAGAGGACAGGACAGACACAGGCCTGCACATCCCTCCCCACTCCAGCAGCTCTAGGCACTCCTCACAAGTGATCTGGACAGCCACCTGCCCAAGGTCAAGTGCCTGTATTCAGGAAGTCAAGCAACTACAAGTTCCTTCTGCTGTGGTGTAGGATTTCATTATTTTTTTTTTTAAAGATTTTTTTTTAAATTTATTTGACAGATCACAAGTAGGCAGAGAGGCAGGCAGAGAGAGACAGGAGGAGGCAGGCTCCCCGCTGAGCAGAGAGCCCAATGCGGGGCTCGATCCCAGGACCCTGAGATCATGACCTGAGCCGAAGGCAGAGGCTTTAACCACTGAGCCACCCAGGCGCCCCGGATTTCATTATTTTTTTTAAAAAGATTTTTATGTATTTATTGGAGAGAGAGATAGAGCGCAGGCAGGGGGAGGAGCAGAGAGAGAGGGACAAGCAGACTCCCTGCTGAGTGCAGAGCCTGTAAGTCTAATTCCCACCTGGCAGGGTCCCAGAAGATTGAAAACACTCCTGCCAAAGGGGACGTGCAACCAAGAGTACCGGGACTGAAGCGAATGTGAAGGGGGGAGGTAGTACTTTTGAATCCTAACACAGCGCCGTCCCGTGGTTCCAGCGCTAGAACCCAGGAAGGATGTCCTGGGCCCACACAACACCTGCTCCGGCCCCAAGGAGCTGATCTGTAAGCCAGAGCCCCTGCCAGCCTCACCCCTCCCTCAGGGACCCCTGTTCCCCAGCAGGGACTGAGGTGCCCAGTGCAGACAGGCACTCTATTTCAACATCAAGTCACTAAAATCACAAACTCCCACTGAGCAGCCACCCATGCTGGTTTCTCGAACATCTCAGCATCTCCAAACACAATCACCCAGCCGCAAACACAGACAGAAACGACAGCCAATGCCAGTCAAACAGAAAGGAAGAAGGAAGGTTCTAGCAACAGGGGGGAGGGTGACCACAGGGGCCTGCTGTTTGTTCAAGGGCTCTGTGTCGTCTGCGTTTCGTAAACGAGTGACCTCTTGCACACGGCACACAAACGCACACCACACGTTTAGGAATGTGAAACGGCTGTCAGTAAATTGTGACGTGGTGACACACACTCAGGGTGATTGCTGTCTGCCTTGTCTGACCGTGAATGTCCGAAGGGACACCTGCGAAAGCAGCGTGTTCCTGCTGACCCTCCAGGAAGCGCCCCATGGGCCTTCCCAAGGCCTCTGTTGGGTCAGCATCAGCCCAGAGGACTCTGCGATTAGTTCTACCCCCCGATCTAAGGAACTAGCCGCTCCATTCCCACGGAACACGCTCAGCAAACTCTGCGCCACACGCCACACACAGGACACCCATCTCTTGGCTTGTCGGTGGCAGTGGGGACAAAGTCAGGGGACTGTCAGATGCCCTGCTCCGGGGATCTTGGTTCTACCTGAGCCTCCCCCTGAAACCCCATCAGATACCACAGAGGTTAACTTCGGGATGGGCAGGAAGGCCACGGTCAGCAGACAGACATCACCTGCGGGCCAGCCCCTGGCGACTGGGCCCCTTCCCCGCTTCGAAGGGCTGGTGTGGACGGCTCCGGTGACGTCAGGGCAGCGGTCCTGCCTCGAGTCACGCTCCCGTTGGCTTTCTCAGACAGCAACACCTCAGGCTCCAACCGGCCGTGGCTTGGGTTCAGTTTAAGATGCCGGGCCAGGCCCCCCTTCCCGATGTAGGACTTCTCACACGTCTGACACTTGAAAGTCCTGGGCCTAAGGGAGCAGCCGGACAAGTCGAAGAGCATCTGTTTTTCCCTCTGCTCCTCGTCGTCTTCCACACTCAGTTCGGAATAGTCGTCAGAATCGGACAGGTGCCCGTCAGCCAAATCCTCCGTTTTTATGAATTTATAATCTTTAGCTTTATACTTGGGAGGTCGAGATATCCGCCCAGAACGTGTTTTCACTTTTAAGGACTTTTTGAGTTTCTTGGTGTGTTTTGTGTGCAAGCCGGAAAGAAAGAAATTCGCTGGGCTGGGTGACACAGACGCGGGCGCCGGTGGGTCAGGGGCCGGCGAAGGGGCCGGTGTGGCACCTGGTCCCTTGGCAGCCAGGGGCTGGAGGGCCGGCAGGGGCCCCTGCGCCGACAGCTGAACGGGAAGTGAGCTGCTCAGGAAGCGCGGCCGGGGCCCGGTGCTCAGGAGGGGCTGCGGCCGGGGCCCCAGCACCCTGGAAGTCCTGGCGGGCAGCTGGCTCAGGGCTGGCTTGGGCTGGATGGTGGGCAGTGGGGGCATTGGCCTTTCCTGATCTTTCATTTCTGCAGATGTGACCTTGACACAAATGGCTTCCAGTTGCTTAAATACAGAAGGAGAAAAAAGCGTTATGCTTATCAACATTTCTACAATTCTGCTCTCATCTTAAATGTATTATTGAAATTGTTTCTAAAAATTATAAATTTTTATATTTATATTGTATTTATATTGTTATAAAATCCATCGTACCTATAAACGTCTTTTTAATGTACGCATACCGTTTACCATGGTTTTTCTCAAGCTTTCTGGCCAGGCCAGTGATAAGCTTTACACATGTGCACACGGAAACTTATGCAAACATAAATTAAAATTCACAAAACTACTTACCATTTGTACATAAATGCCTTCTGATAGTATCTATTCCATGTCATTTTTGAAAAAATACTAATCATAATCTACTAAATTGACTTCATGACCCAATAAGAAATATCCTTCTTTATGGTTTTACCACGTTGGTGTTGACTTGGAATTCCTAGTACTCTAAACTGAACTCAATTCAATACATAGGCTCACTTTCTTGAAAAGTTAATGAAATTCTAGAAACAAAAAAAAGCCAAAAAAGCAATGCAACACAGGTTCCTACCACCTGCCTCAAGGCATGGGACATCATCCTTACAGGGAAAGCTCTCTACTTTCCTCCTAATCTGCATGCCCTCTTCCTTTTTCACCCTAGCCTGAAAGTTTACTGATCGTTCTCATGGATTTTTTTTTAAAAGATTTATCTATTTGAGAAAGAGAGGGAGAGAATGAGCATGCGCAGCAGGGAGGGGCAGAGGGAAAATCTCAGGCAGGCTCCCGGCTGAGCATGGAGCTTGGTCCCAGGACCCCGAGATCATGACCTAAGCTGAAACCAAGAGTCAGACTCAACTGACTGAGCCACCCAGGTGCCCCTCTCATGCATTTTTTAATATTATATATATAGATATCCCTAAAAGTATGCAGTTCAGTTTTGACGTGTTTTTAAACTTCATGTGAATGAGTATCCTCTCCTGCAAATTGGTGGGGCTTTTTCAGGTTTTTTACTCCCTGATCTGGCATATGAAATTCACCCACGTCGAGGTGTGTAGCTCTCCTGCTGATGGACAAGTGTCTCCAACCTTGTGCTCTTGCACTGTGCTCAGAACCTTCATGGATGTGTGTGCATACGCGTGAGTTTCTCCAGGACACACACCTAGGAGTGGGGTGCTTACCTTCAACAACTTCTTAACATCTAACAAAATCTTAGGGGGTGCCTGGGTGGCTCAGTCGGTTGAGCGTCCCACACTTGATTTCAGCGCTGGTTGTGATCTCAGGGTTGTGGGATCAAGCCCCACACTGGGTTCCACGCTCAGCGGAGAGTCCGTTTCAGTCTCTCTCCCTCTCCCTCTGCCCCTCTTCCCACTTCTGTGCTCCCTCTCTCTCTAAAAAGAATAAACAGGGGACTCTGGGTGGCTCAGTGGGTTAAAGGCTCTGCCTTCGGCTCAGGTCATGATTCCAGGGTCCTGGGATTGAGCCCCGCATCAGGCTCTCTGCTCGGCAGGGAGCCTGCTTCCCCTCCTCTCTCTCTGCCTGCCTCTCTGCCTACTTGTGATCTCTGTCAAATAAATAAATAAAATCTTTAAAAAAATAAAATAAATAAACCTTAAAATAATATTTTTTTAATGCACATGCTTTTTTGATGTAGCAACTCCATCCACTTCTGGGATGCCCTCAGGAAACAGGTACAAAGCATAGGTGCAAAGATGTAGGTCTTGGGGGTTCAAGAGAGCATGGTCTGCAGTAGCAAAGCACCCACTAAAGGGGAGGGCTGCCATCAATGATGTCCCACGAATCATCACTGATTGGTGACCATGGGCCGGGGACGATCGTACAGGTCTAGAGATTAAGGGTCATGGACTCAGGGGAGAGGCAGCAAAATGGACAAGGCTCAGGGCCTCACAGCGCAGAAATAATCAGCATCTCTGTCCGACCTCATCATCCAGAGCTGGACTCCCCAACCCTGGCACAACGACCACTCCGAACCATTCATTCTGTGTTGCTGTGGCTGTCCTGGGCATGGCAGAAAGCTGATAGCATCCGTCTCTACCCATCAGATGCCAGTAGCAGGCCCCAGCTTGGGACAAAGATGTCTCCAGGCACTGCCAAACACCTCCATAGGTCAAAATTGCCCCCTGGTTGAGAATCCCCGATTTGGGGCCACCAACAGGCTCTGTCTGGATCAACCCTATACCACGTGGAGGGTCAATGAAAATGTCACATGAGGCAGAATGACACCTCCCACTGAAATCAAGCTGGAGTCCATCTGTCTGTCTCTACGTGCTACATCGACCACAAACAGCAGAGATGACTCAGTGTACCAGTTTATGAGGCCGTGTACAGGGTTGGTGCCAAGGGCCCATGAGGACCAGCACTGGGGTACCTGTGGATCAGATGACAATGATCTTTTAACGATCATACTTGTTTCACATTACTACCACTTACAATGTCCAACCTCTGGGGATATCACCAGATAATATCAATACACACATACACACACACACACTCCCCAAATCCTACTGTTTGGGGCACCTGGGTGGCTCAGTGGGTTAAGGCCTCTACCTTCGGCTCAGGTCATGATCCCAGGGTCCTGGGATCGAGCCCTTTATCGGGCTCTCTGCTCAGCAGGGAGCCTGCTTCCCCCCTCTCTCTGCCTGCCTCTCTGCCTACGTATGATCTCTGTCAAATAAATAAATAAAATCTTCAAAAACAAACAAACAAACAAAAAAACAAACAACAACAACAAAAAAAAACAGGCAAAACTGGTCTAATTTTTAAATTTGTTCCAGACTAGTTTACCTGGTGGGTGTTATACTTGATACTTTGTTATATATTTATGTCACTCAGCAAACATTCTCTAAGTATCATAAGCCAATGTGGGTGAGGCGCAGGGAGACACAGGTGAAGGGGAGGTATACACTGGCAATTATAAAATAAATAAGTCCGGGCACCTGGGGGCTCAGGCATTAAGTGTCTGCCTTCGGCTCAGGTCGTGATCCCGGGGTCCTGGGATCGAGCCCCACATCGGGCTCCCTGCTCGGCAGGAAGCCTGCTTCTCCTTCTCCCACTCCCCCTGCTTCTGTTCCCTCTCTTGCTGTGTCTCTCTCTGTCAAATAAATTAAAATCTTAAAAAAAAAAAAATAAAGTCATGGGTGTGCAAAGTACAGCATTAGGGAATACAGTCATTAACGCTGTGACACACTGTACGGTGACAGACAGTGATACACTTGCTGTGGTCAGGCCTGAATAACAAACTAGTGGAATGGCCACGTTGTCCACTTGAAACTATTTTAACACTGTATGTCAACTATAGTTCAATTAAAAAAAAACAACAATGGAAAACAGAAGCCAAGTCCTAGCCTCATCCTTGAGGACGTGGGCAGCTTCCCCCACCAGGCCTGTCACCCTTAGACCTGCTGAATCAGGACCTCCTACCCCGAAATCTGTGCTTTCAAAAGCTCCGCTGATGATTCAGAAGGCTGACTCGGCTCCCTAAGGACACGATGACATCACCATGCGACAAGTGCAGTTGGGAGAGGCGGCCCTGTGGGTGGGGTGGGGGAGGGCCTGGCTTCCCAGGGGAGGGGACCTAAGAAGGCTGAAGGGAATTTCCACCAGGTAGAAAGGTAGACTAGGTGTAAGGAAAATGTGTGAATGCATAGGCACATGAAAAAGGGCAGGGCATGTTGGAAGGAACCGGAAATGTTTCTGTGGCACAGGAACAGGGAGGACGCAGAGGGACGTGAGCCAAAATCTGGCCCACGAGAGTTCAGGCATTTAGTCTGAGCCTTCGGATCCACACCCACCCCACCCCCAACACACACACAGAGAACCACAAGGCCTGGGTTTTCTAAATGCACGTTCTGCCCCACCCCCACCACTGCCTGTCCTCTTCCGTATTTTCAGCTGGGACTCACCCTTTTGGACAAAGTCATTTCCGATCCCCTCAGCCAGAAATGACTTCTCCCTCTCTTCAGGCCATTTCTTTAGACCAGTCCTTCATCTCTAGTTTCCTGACCTTGCTTAGAAGTTACGTGAGTCATGTTTTACCTTGCTGGTTAGATCAAAACCTCATTAGGTGCACGGTACACACCTGCTTTGCTTTCGTGGCTTTCCATGTAAGACTGGGGGCTCAAAGGGTATCTCAGGTGACCAGACAGCAAAATTACACTGTTGTGAAGCCAGGGAGAATTTACTCCATCCCAATGAGATCAGCTACGGAATACCATCATGTGCTGCATTCTGCTTAGGTGTGCTTGGGTTTTGTGGAAACTGTCATTTTTGGACTCTAAGTTGCCAGACCAAACCCAAAAAGCCGGGGTCACATTCAACAGGTGGAGGGCAGCCACACCTGGGAGCCCTGGGCAAAGTCCCTCAACCTCCCTGTAAAACGCTGATACAAACACGTTCATGAGCCTGCTGAGATGCGGACTGGCAGAGTGCCACGCATGGAGCAGAGGCTCTGCAAACAGCAGCCACCGTCACCCTCCTGACTCCAGACTTCCTGTGCGCCCCCTATGCATGAGACCTTTGTTTCTTCAGCAGAGTATAAGCTATGAGGCTTGTCCAATAACCCATTCCTCCTGCAAATAAAGGAAGCAAAGCCCAGAGAGGTTGATACTCAAGGTCACACCACTAGGAAATCGTTTGGGCAGAATCATAGCTGTCTTCTCCAACTGTAGCAAGACAGCTTCCCAGTCTTGATCACCAAGTGGGTACAACTCTAAGCCAAAATCACTCCATGGAAAAAACAATAAAAAAACAATGAAGACTGTTAATAACAGCAATGACAACAACGAACACTGTAGATTCTATTCTCCATCTATTCCTTCCAGTGGAAGCAGCATCTCTCCAGCAACTTTGGGGTGAGACTTGCCAGTGTCATTTGCAACCCCAGCTCTGAAAGGGGATGTGGCTTTACAGAGGATATGAAGGACCTCTGGCTTCAGGAGCTACACGGGACCCTCTGGGCTTGGAAGACCATGCCCTAGTTCCAACTTCCCTAGTAGCCAAGAGCTGTGTGACCCACGAAATAATTAACACTGAGAAATCTTTTGTAGTATAGGGAGTGCTTTCAATGTGTTTCGTTCATTAAGTCTATGTCGGGCACTGTGCTGGGCACTGCCACTCAGGCTGGTAAGTCCTGCCCCAGAGGATTTAGGACTAAGAGAGTGTGCTTAACTCTGTCCCAGGCCCCTGCGCTGGCACGGGCCACACCTTCCACCGGAAAAGCTCCGCAGGCTGGTTCGTTTCAGGGCATTCAGGTCTCAGCTGCAGTGTCAGGCCTAAGGACTCCTCACTCTAAAGCAGCCCCCTGGTCACTCCCAGAACGTTGCTTATGTCCTTCAAGGGCCGTGTTCGAGGCTGCACCTGCTGCACCTGCTGCACCTAGGGCAGTGCTGGGAACACAGCGAGTGCTCAGCAAACGCGGGAGGAATGACAAAGGCCCGAGAGAGGAGCCCGGGAGCACCGAGGCGCCCCGAGCAGCGCTGCGTAGCAGGAGGGGTCCCAGGCAGGGGCGCGCGGGAGGAGTTGGTGACAGGTCGGGGTGGACGCTGCCTCTCCTACCGGCCCGCTGAGGGCCGAAGAGGGGACGCGGGCCCGGGTCCGCCGCGAGGCCTCGGCCCCCTCCGGGCCTCAGTTTCCCCATGTCCCTTCCGGCGCCTCACCTGGGGCGGCAGCAGGCGCGGCGGGCGGGGGGGCTCGGCGCCGGGGACCCGCTGCAAGGCGGCCTGCTGCGCCGCGTCCCGTAGCCGCCGCGCCGCGTCCTGCAGCACGAAGGGCGGCGGCGGCGGCTCGGCGGGCGGCTGCGCCTTCGTCACCTGCTCCAGGACCTGCCGCAGCTGCTCGGGGCCCAGCGGGGCCACGCGCGCGGCGGTGCCGCCCTGGTCGGGGGGAGCCCGGCCGCCGCCGCCACCATCCTCGCTGCCGTCCTCAGCCTCGGGCTCCGCGTCCGCCATGGCAGCTGACACTGGGACTCGAACCCGCGCCGCCGAGCAACGGCGGCTCAAATCTGCGTCACCTGGGAAAGGGTGGGTGGGGACTACGAGTGCCCCGCAGGCCAAGACACCTCTGAAGGCGACCGCACCTGGGCGAGAACGTCGGTGGGCGGGGACCTGAGTTGGCCCCGCCCCATCGCCTCTATGCCGAAGACCTTTCCTCTCCTTAGTCCCAAATGCATTTAAATTTCAGATATCGCTCTTCCAGGAGCTGTCCAGGGTCTCCCAGGATTAGGTCCTTGGAGTTGCAGAGGCCCTTAGCCTAGCATCACACTAGCCAAAAATTCTCAAGGTCATGTGCATTAGAGCCACCGGAAGACCCCGTCTGGTCCCACCTTAAGACTTTCTGATTAACAGATCTGGCAGGGACCCTAAGTGTGTTTTGTTTCTTTTGTTTTGTTTTGTTTCGTTTTTTATAATGAGGGGTTTTTTTTTGTTTTTGTTTTTAAGTAGGCTATTTGTCCAACGTGGCACTTGAACTCAGGACTCTGAGATCAAGAGTCACACACTCCACCAATTGGTCAGGTGCCCCCAAAGTGTGCATCTTTTAAGGGGGGTAGGGGCAGATGGAGAGGGAGAGAGAGTATCCTAAGTGGGTTCGATCCCACCACCCAGATCAGGGCCTGAGCAGAAATCAAATCTGATGCCCAAGAGGCTGAGCCACCCAGATTCTCCCCCTGCCCCCGCAAATTGCGCATTTTTAACCAGTGCACCCAACTCCAAATTATTCCCAGGTCCACCCACTCATCCAGACTGGACGCACCTTACAGGACAAGATGATATTTTACTCAGTGCTCAGCACAGGCCCCAACCCAGAGCCCAAGATTAGGGAATGAATGATGCATGGATAAATAGGAAGGAAGGAAAGGAGGGAGGGAGGGAGGGAAGGAAAGGGAGGTCCCCACCCCTCTCCACATATCAGCCCCATCCATCCCTGCTCCATCACTTCCTCTTCAGCCCAGCTTTTCCCAGTCTCCCCCTCCTCTTTACTCTCCTGGCTCTGTGTGTTCTTCCCACCAAGCCTTGCAGCTGCCAGTGTGTGCTCCTTTCTCGGCTCCCCTCCCCAGGAAGGGCAGTAGAGGCACTGGCTGACAAACAGTAAGCACTTGCTGGGTGACTCAGGTTCCCTGCCTTCAGGGTGTCCTGCACTCTGTATATAGTCTAGGCAGGAAGAGGAGGAGGAAACTGGCATTTACAGTAGCATATTACGAGTTTCTTGATGCCCAAAAAAGGGAGAGACTGGGGACCCAGGCTGATGTCTGAGAAGCTTCTGGAAGACCTGATCATTTTTCTCTCCACATGGCCATCGTCATCATCATAATCAATACTCATGTTGCATTCACTAAGCTCCGTGCAGTGTTCTAATTTAATTCATTAATGGCTTCATTAAGGTGGCCAGAGGCGAGATTCGATTTGTGGAATTTGTTTCAATTCTTCAATTCATTCATTCATTCTTTCCTTCAACTTTGAAAGAAAGACTTTCTCATTTTCTCATCCACGGGTATCAGAAAGGTCCCCTCTGGCCGCTAAGCCAAGAACTGCCCTCCTTGTCGAAAGCAGAGTACCCCATTTCACCATGTTTTTGAGCCTGTCCAGGGAGGGAGGGGGACTTTTCCTCTCTGCTCTTAGGGTCAGTCTTTAGGGGGCCTGTAAATTAAAGTGACAAAAAGGCAGATTAACAAGAGAAAAGACAAAATTTAATCGTGCATTTTTATTCATATACCTGTGAAATTCACAGAAAAATGTAACTCAAAGTGGCAGGTAGAACACAGGACCTATAGACTATCTTAATAGGGAAAGAGAAGCAGGGAAGGGCATTTATGGGAAAACAGGTGCCTTTTAGGAAAGATAAATGGACCCTTACCAGAGCAGATAGGAGATATGAGTTTTGTGACAATGCCTGTGTAGGTGTGATGGCAACATCTCTCCAGTGACAAGAGTCCATCTTTCCTGATTGCTCCCAGGGAAGAGGACTTCATGACAATTGAATTATTTTGAATTCTTTGGGAAGGATCTACTTTAAGGCAGATAAGACTTTTCAGAAATTCAGATGGCCTCTGCTCAAAATAATTTTTATTCCGGACCCCTTCAGTTCTTGTTCAGGACAGCCTGGCACATATTTCTGGAGCGTGACATCCAAAGTGTCAGTACTGGTCAGCAGCCCCTAGTTCTCCTTCTAACTAACCTTTGGTAAGAACAAGGGTCCCATCACTGGCATTCAATGCTCACTTTTGATGCGCTCTGAGCACTTGCCAAGGGTCTGTGGCCCTGAGCTATTACTGAATTCCATCAGAGCTTAACACAAATTTGAGAAAAGAATGAAAGATTTGGTAGACGTCCTCCCTGGATATTTTTCAAACATGGCTAGAGCTCCTGCCAGACCCTGATATAAAATGGCATTAACCCTAAAATAACTGGCTTTTGTGTTGAACTAAACATGCCTGATTACACCTGGAGACTTGAATCGCCAGAGAGAAATTCATCCGCCGCCTTCGGGCTGCAAACTGCAGAACCAAGAGGAATAAATAAATGGGAAGCCTAAGACCTCTCTGAAAAGCAAGAAAGCATTAAGAGAAGGTTTCCAGATGCTTCCACAAGCAGAAGACCTCACTAAAAACATGGCAGTCATTGGTGGGTCATTGCTCCGGGGTGGTGGGGATCTGTGTCTCTCTTTCACTGTTCTGCTTCCCACCTGGAGTCAGGAAGGGCAGGCAATAAGAAGCCGCGCCCTAAGCATTTGTCCAATCGATCCCAGGCCTGGACTTTCAAGTCCAAGAACACCGGGAGCCCTGGAGCCCGCACCGAGGTCCCGCAGAAGCTCTGCGTTAGGAAGCAACTGGGGCGCGGGAGGGCATCCGAGAGCATCCTAACAACAACAACAACAACAAAATGCAACGGCAGCGGCAGGTGTGCACAGCCTGCGGGGAGTTGGAGGGACGGACACGCGCGGGATCCTGCCCTTTCTCCCTGCCCGCTGCCCTCGCCAACTTCGCGGCTGGGTCCGGAACGATTCCGCGACTCTCTCCCGTCTGCGGCTCACAGCCCTCGAAAAGCATATTTAAAGGAGAAAAAAAAAAAGGTAAAATGAATTGAGAAATGGGAGCACTGGTTAAAACAGAAAGAAAACAAAAAGCGGAAAAGAACAGTTTCATGGCCCGTACGGGGATCGAACCCGCGACCTTGGCGTTATTAGCACCACGCTCTAACCAACTGAGCTAACCGGCCACTTGGAACAGAAGTGCCGTCGCTCCACCTATGAGGTCTATACGCCTGCGCGGGTCCGGTACTGGCTAAGGACTTCCGGTCCTTCCAGAACTGCTGTCATCCCCATTGGCCAGAAGAAAACACCGGGGGCTCTTTAAGGAGGGGGGAGGGGGCTTCTCCCGACGAATCAGGCTCTCGCAGGGGATGCAAATGACACCTTACACCCACGGGGCTCGGCTCGGGAACAGCGTTTTCGAACGCTGCTACTCTGTGTCCCCGAGAATCTTTCCAGCGTGGAAACTTCGTGGATCAAGAGCTTCCGGTGCGGCTCGGTAAAGCTTAGAAAAGGCAGAAAGTCAGATGGAGAAGAGAAGAGCCACCGACCTTCCCACCGCCCCAAGACAGCGGCCCGCTGGGGTCTTGGCTTCTTTCCCGACGATCTTGCCTCCCTGCACAGGTGTACGTAAGAACACATATCCGGCATTCGGTTCAACCTCGCTCAAAGGGATAGAATTCCTCATCTCTCTTTTTGTAGTTAATATTCCATCGTTATCCGTCCCTAAGCGACTGCAAATGTCGTTTTAAATTGCTCCTCAGTGTTTCCTTTAGTGGGTGAGCTATTGCCCCCTCACCCCCCTCTTTTTTAACGTCTGGAAAATGTCTTCATGTTGCCCTCTCGTTAACTAGCGCTGGAATAAATCCTAAAACAGCGGCTGGGTGGGCAACTGACAGTACCCACTCCAAAGGGATGGTGTCTGAAAAAAAAAAAAGAGTTAAAAATATAAGGAGTTACAAATACACTGGGAGTTTTTTTTTTTTTTTTTAAAGGAGTTAAAAATAACCGGGAAGACAAAACTCTATTCCCTCAACTACATGTCCCAGAGGCCCCTTGGTCCTCGAGGCTCTGATGTCCCGTGCTGCGGTGGCAAATGCCCCAAGAGAAGGGAGCCTCATGCAGCTTTCACACTCTCCATCCCTGCCGTCTGACCGCTCAAAATAGTGCAGGTATCATCAGTGTCCCTTGTTGCAAACAGCAGAGCCCAGTCAGGCTGATCTTAACAGAACAGATATTACTGGAAAGAGGTTAGGTAGCTCATCCTGCCACCAGAAGGGCTGCTGAGCCAGATTTAGTCCACACACACTCAGCAGTGCCCTAGCTTCAGGGAACCAGCTGTGAGTAGAACAGACCTGAGCCTGGCCTCGTGGAGTCCGCAGCTGAGCAAACCCAGTTGTTAATGTGAGCGGAGACACTTTGTATGTAAGCTGCCCTGGGGGCAACAGGTCCGGCAGGTGTTTGAAGACTGGGACATCTGACTATTGATCTTGAGGTCATGAGTTTGAGCTCCACGTGGGGGTGGGGAGAAGACTGTACTTAAAAAATAATAAAAAATAGATGGATGAATGAGCTAATTGCAAAATCACATTTTAAAACAAGTCAGACGCAGTCATTTCTCTGTTCGAGCCCTCCCCTTCTGGCCCAGTCCAGGTAAGGCTGCCAGATTTAGCAAATAATTTCTTATGTCCCATGCGATATTTGGAACAAAAGCAGTATTCGCTGTTTATCTGAAATTCATCTCTAACTGGGCACCCTGTACCCATGGGGCAAGGGTACACCCACAGTAACGCCCATTTGAAACACCCGCACTCCCCATCCTTCCCGCTGCCCCCTGCCACAGCCCACCACCCTCTGTCCTGGACCTTGCTCACCGGGCCCTGCTCCTGCCTTGGGGCCGCTGCACTTCCTCTCCCCCTTCCTGGACCTTCTTCCACCGGACACTGCCAAGG